CCATCCGCTGCCGCTTTTCGCACAGGGGTACGCTACGACCCCGAGCGAGCACCAGCACACCCCCTCCAGCTCTGCCCGCGCCCCTAAGGCTGCATCTAACCGCCAAAACCGGCGAGCCCCGCTTATCTTGACCTCTCAGAGCAACCACAGAGCTCCGTTTTCACGGCAATCCCTTCTCACCCCTGCTGCACAACCAACCTCGCGCTCATCTGCTCACCCCACCATCAAAGTAAAAGCAGTTTAAACACGGGGGAACACATCCCAGGTCAGAGGGAACGCGTGAGTCATTCCCCTGGAATGCAGCAGACTCAGCATCACTCGTTAAGACATTAAAAAAAAAAAAAGAGAGATTTTAAAGAAAAAAAAAAAAAAAGGGAAAGAATCGCAGACGATAATTATGCGGGGGCATCAAAGGGGCGATTACGAGACTCTTGCAGAAATAAGCGAGATAAGGGTTTTCCATTCACAGGGAAAGCTAAATGTTTTGGTTTCACAAAAAAAAAAAAAAAAGAAAAAGTTCTATTTAAATCCCAGATCAGTCCCTCGTCCTCACCCCTCCCCTCCGTCACCCACCCTGCCAGGCTCTAAACACTCGCTGTATTAAGGATGCTGTGGGGGAGAGAGGCAGGCGTAAATATTTGGTTTCGAGGGGCCACCAACCCCAAGCTCCGAAACCGAGGTGGATAAAGGCGGTTTATGTAAAAGGCGCGGGGAAAAGCGGACGTCCCGAGCCACGGCGAGGCCGGGGGTCACTGCCCGGGTGACGGGGTAGGGACAGCGGGGCCGGGGACGCAGGGCCACGAGCCGGGGGATGGCGACGGGACTGCTCAGGGACGGGGGGTCCCAGGCGAGACCCCGGGATGGACGGATGGGAGCACTGGGGTGCGGGCTGCCTTGGAACCCGGCGTGGGAGATACCCCGCACCCCAGGAGTGTCCCCAAAACCATGCTGGGGACACCCTGCACTCTGGGATTGTCCCCCAAACCGTGCTGGGGACATCCCACACCCCAGGAGTGTCCCCAAAACCCAATGCAGACACTCTGCACCCCGAGATTGCCCCCAAAACCGTGCTGGGGAAACCCTGCACCCCATGATTGTCCCCAAAACCCGACGAGCACACCCTATACCCCAAAGCCATCCCAAACACCCAATGGGGACACCCTGCACCCCAAGGGGGGTCCCCAAAACCCAATGGGGATGCCCTGCACCCTGGGATTGCTCCCAAAACCACACTGGGGACACCCGGCACCCCACTAGCGTCCCCAAAACCCGACGAGCGCACCCTGCACCCCAGGGTCATGCCCAACACCTGATGGGGACACCCTGCACCCGGGGGGAGGGGGTCCCCAAAACCCGACGAGGATGCCCTGCACATCGGGATAGTCCCCAAAACTGCGCTAGGGACACCCCGCACCCCAGGAGTGTCCCCAACATGCAACGAGCACACCCTGCAGCCCGGGGGGTGGTCCCCAAAACTCGACAGGGATGCCCTGCACCTCGGGATCGCCCCCAAAACGGTGCTGGGGACACCCCACACCCCAGAATTGTCCTCAAAACCCAACGAGCACACCTTGCGCCCCAGGGCCGTCCT